AAAATAATCTATGTTGATGCTGTCACCAAGGTCTAAAGCAGAAGCCAAAATGTGTTCTGTACAGAGCCTGTATAGATAGAAAGTATTTTAGACTTTGCAGGGCATATATCCCTCTGCAACATATTCTTCTGCACCCAGAACTGATCTTATAAGGCTTTAAAAATGGAAAGCCTGAACTGTAATCCTAGCACTTGGGAGGTTGAGATGAAGAGATCACAAATTGCAGGCCAGCCTGGGCTGCCTACTGAGACGCTGTCTCAAAAAAAGAAAAAGAAAAAAAAAAACCATAATGCCCTTGGAGAGAAATCAAAGCTGATTCTTTTAGAAAAATCAATAAATATTGATTGTGCTTACTTATCTCTATTCAGACTGATTTGAGAAGATGGAGATGCAGGACACAAATATTATGAACAAGAGAGTAGACGTCATGGGCAGGAAGAGCAGAATACTTTAGGGGCATCTTTTTGCCAAGAAATCCAACAAGTTTGATAAAACGGGAAGAATCCATAACCAACACAAACTAACAAAGCTCACTCAAGAAGAGGCCTGGACCAGCTCTGTATCTAGTAAAGAAACAGATAATCCTCCCACCGAAAAAAAACTCGAAGCCCGGATGGCTTCCTTCGTAAACTCTATCAATATTTAAGGAAGAAATACCACAATTTGACACAAACCCTTCTGGAAAACGGAAGCAGCAGGGAGTACTCTTCCTTTTGCCTAGGAGATAGCATGATCTTGTTCTCAGATCAGATATATTCCAGGAAAAGAAAAGTATGTATCAAATATCTTTCCTGAATGTACACATGAAAACTCTTCTGCTAATTGAATCCCATTCGATTGTTCTGGGGTTTTTGTTTGTTGTAGTCCTGGGGATTGAGCCTGGAGCCTTTGTGCTGAGTTATATCCCCAGCCTTTTATTTTTTGAGACAAGGTCTTGCTAAGTCCCTAAACTGCATTGCTATGGACTGAACCCGGGACCTTGTGCTTGCTTGGCAATCATTCTACTGCTGAGCCACATCCTCAGCCCTCAAAGGACCTATATTATCCAAAATAACTTGGGGGGAAAAAGGAACAAAGGTGGACTTTAGCTATTTGATTTTGAAATTTATAGAACTACAATAAACAAAACCACGTGTTGTTATCATTTAGATCAATGAAATAGAACAGAGTCCAGAGATAAATTCAGACATAGAAGATTAATTAGTTATTGACACAGGCACCAAGGCAATTCCATGGATATGGTATATCTTTTCAACAAAGACTACTGAGATAATTTGATATAGCATATGCAAAAGCTGAACCTCATTGCTTACCTTTTTTATTATTATCTTGAAGGTAGTAAAATACAACAGAACAAGACAGAACAAAGCCAATTTAGACAGTGTAGTGAAATTGGTACAGAACTTCACAGCAGGTTACCGGGATAACAGCAATAGGCATCACAGTATATCTCATTATCATCACAATAGTTGTTCTTTCAATCACGCATAGCAAAATAAAATGAAATACAGAACATGACAGAACTTAACAAAACAGAATATTGAATAGAACAGTACCATTAATCAGAATAAAGCAAAACAGTAATAAAAATATTTGTCTTCAAAAAGATGGTAGAAGGAAATCCCCCTTATTTGCTATATTTCGGATGGTCAACCCCCCAAGAGATGCTCAGACCTCTGGTTCCCATTTGCTAACAGGGTGCAGGGGAAGTGGGATGTTTGACTCTCAGCCCGTGCACCGGCAGGCTCACTATTGCTTAGCAGGGAGGCAGGCTGACTGCTTGGTTTCCCAGCGTGGCACAGATGTCAGGAGACACTGCTGGTTCTCCCCCTGGGGCAGCTGCAGCCCTCGTTGCTTACTTTACACCACGTACGAAAATTAACTCAGAATTAAGCATAGACCTAAGTATAAGTATAAAACTATAATTCTCAAGATTATAAGAGAAATTTTTATTGACCGGAGATTTGAAATTCCTTGAAGTAAGAAACATATATTTATCCAAAACTGTTACAAAGATGAAAAGGACAAGCAATATTTAAGGAAATATAATACAATATTTAATACTTTATACTAATGGGAAATAATTTTTTCATAATATATTCAATAAAATATATATATTTAGAGTATACGTAAAATAAAAAACCTTTTATTCTATGTTGTCTGAGCTGACCTTGAACTTGTTACACAGACCAGGCTGGCCTCTAACAAGAAACCCTCCTGTCTCAGTCTCCAAAGTGTTATAAGTCTCCCCAAGTCTCCAAAGATTGTAAGTGTGCACTATAACACCTGGCCGTTCTGGCCTGTGGGTAAGTCCACAGAGACCCTAGAAGGGGATTGGGGAAGAAAAGGAAACAAGAGACTCAAGGAACAGAGACAAGATGAAGTCCGATCAAGTCTCCTTTATTCAAGGAATGAGAATCAGATAAATAGGGTATTGAGGAGGAAGGAGTTGGGTTCTGAGACATCAGCAGGTAACTTAGCAACAGTGGCAAGACTGAGGGTCATAGGTTAATTCAAATTTTCAAATTTCCCACGGGTGGCCTCATAAGGCGGGCTGATTAGCATAATTCTTGAATAGGCCAGGCCAAACAAGCTAGGCAAGGTGCTGCTTAACTACCAAACAACTCCTAGAGGGAGTTAAGGTGGTGTGGCCTGCAACCAGGTGGCAACCAATTACAGGGCTTCCCACACCTGGCCATTAAACAACCAATTTAAAAGCAGGATTGAGATTTTAAAAGATGTTTCATTGAAGAATACATATGGATGTAAATTAGTACATGAAAAGTTGCTAAACACTGTAAGCCAGAAGGAAAACAAATAGTAAAATATAATGGCTAAAAGTTAAAAAGATATAACAATACCAAATGTTGGTGATATGGAGAAACTAGAACTCTGATACACTGCTGGTGAGAATGTAAAAAATAGTAGGACACTTTAGAAAACAATTTAGCTTTATCTTTATCTTAAAGTATTAAACACATGCTTACTATGTGAGTCAGGCCTTTGAGCCCTACGTATTTAAAACCTAAGGAAAATGAAAGCACATATCCACCCCAAGACTCATACATGGGCACAGTAGCTTCAACTGCCACAGGCAGAAACTGCAAATACCACAAATATCCACAACAGATGAATGCATTGTTATGGTATGCCCATGTAATTAAATATTACTAAGCAATGAAGAAGAATGGACATGTTACAACAGTCTTGCTTGTCAAGTTGACTGGATTGATAGCTACTAGGACATTATATCTAGCTGGGGCTGGGTTGGTATTGCCGAGATGATTGGCCTTCGGCCATCACACTGAGAGGGGCCCACTCTGAATGGAGGACACCTCCAGAAGGGTGGGAGCCCAAATAGAATAAAAATGGAAGAAGGAAGAAGTCAGCCAGGGCTTACAAGCTCAGTTCTGCTTGAGCAGGTCTGACTTTTGCCTCTGCCATTGTCATGGACCTCAGATTCCAACTCCCTCAGTCCCTCAATGAAGACATATCAGCAACCCTCCAAAGAGACTCTTCTCCAAGCCTTCAGTCACCGCCTGGGGCTGCACTCCTTGGTTCCAGCTTCTTGGACTGAGCAGCATCTGGGTCCTCTGGCTCTCCGTGGTATAGACAGCCACTGCAGGACCATCCAACCTCTGATTCTGTAAACCATTCACAGCAATCTCCGCTTATAACTTCACACAAGTATTTTTATGAATTGTATTCCTCTAGAGACCCTTAACTCATACACATGTTGTCCAATAATGTGAAGCAACTCTCATAACCATAACAGATGACAGAAACCAAACAACAAAAGAAGTACACACTGTAGAAGTCCTTCAACACACAAGTCTAGAATGTGACTCCTGGTCCACTTTCGTAAAGTGTGTGCAAGTAAAGCTTGCTGAAATTGAGAGTAGCAATGGACCTCCAGGACTATAAGAAGGGGTGTCCTGGAGGACAGCACAGGGAGATCCTTAGGTCATTGGGGGTGTGTTCTTAAGGGGGTTGAGGGATCCCTAGGTCTTCCTCTTTCTCTGTGCTTCCTAGCTTATCGTGTGCTGTCCTTGTTAGAGTCCAAACTTATGAGGTTATCTGATCTCAGACTGGAACCTCCAAAATCATGAACCAAAATAAACCTTTTCTCTTTCTAAATTAATTGCCTTGAGTATTTCAGTATAGTCATGGAAAGCTAACTGATACATGTGCATACCCAAGTTTAAATTGCATACAATTCAATTACAAAAGTTTACATGGTAAAAACTTCATCTTCTTTCTTCACTCACATGTACCTATGGTTCCTTCCTCAAATTAATGAGATCTAAAGATGTCTCAAATACTTTTCTGAGACAGGCATTCTTTTTTTTTTTTTTTTTTTTTGTCTTTTTCCTTTTTATCAGTACCAGGTATCGAACTCATGACTGCTTGCTTCCAAAGCAGGTGCTTATGCCGCTGAGCTAAATCCCAGCAGAGACAGGTATTCTTGTAACATTCTACTCTTTGGCTCTTTGACTTACCAGTATGCCCCCATGTGTTTCTCCTATCCAATCACGCAGAACTCCTCATTACTTTTAATAGCTGCACACTGATCCATATCTCGAATGTATAGATGCCAGATACCAATTAATACATACTTATGGTTTCACTCGCATAAAGTTCAAAAATGGGCAAAACTAAGAAATTCTTGCGGGGAAATGTCCAAGGCCCGCCTCCTCCAGCACCAGAAGCTCAAAAGAAGCAGGGGCGGAGATGCTGGGGCGTAGCAAAGACGTATTTCACCTGATACGTAAGCCCTACCCTCTTCCGCAGGCGTTCCCTTTAAGAACCGAGTTATGACCTCATGCCCAGACCAGGCGCAGCCTACCTTGGCAACGCCCCACCACTCTTCGGGCGGCTTCTATTGGCTGGCCGATCCAGCCGCCTTCCCCCGCAGCCTGTCCCAGCGCCCACCGTCAATCAGGCTACTGCGAGCGGTGATTGGTCGCTCGCGCCCCCAAGCCCCCGCCGGGCTGGCGTAGGCTGCGCGCTCGGGGGAGGGGCGCGGCGCCGCGTCCAGTGCCGGCTGACGGGTCTGCGCGCCGCCCGTCCCTCCTGCAGCCCGCCTGCTGGGCAGGGCCGGCGCGGCCCGGCCATGGAGTCCTACGACATCATCGCCAACCAGCCTGTGGTCATCGACAATGTGAGGCCCGGCAACACGGGGGGAGGGGGGGGTCCCCGCACGGCTAGTTCCAGCTCGCCGCGCGCTCGGCACTGGACCTTGGTTCCCAGGCCAGAGCTTGAAGGCCAATAGGTCCCTCCGAGATCTCAGAGCCCTCTGCCACGGACCTTCTCGGTTGAGATCTCAAACCCTGGGCAAGTGCCCCCACCCCATCTCCTTTGCTTACCTCGGCCCTGGCTCTAGTCCCCGGTGGAGTGGATGCTGCTGTCCTGATGTTTTGGAGCGGTTGGCCTGGTGATCCCCAGAGGGATGCAAAAAATATGCAAGCTTTTCTCCACCAGCCACTTTTGCACCACCGCTTACTTGGCTTCTTGGCTCCTTTGACCTTCTCTCCTTAAGCGCTCCCGTATGCAACAGAAATCCCACAAAAGCCAGGATAGTGAAGAGTTCAGGACCGGGCTTCCAGGACCAAGAAGCAGTTCGGAGTAACTGTTTGGAAGCCTCAGGAAAGGTGTCTGGCTTCCCATGGCTTTGTCCTTCAGCGCCAGGGCTCAGCTTGCTTACAGCTGTCGGATTTTTGGTCTCTGAGCCCTGGCTTGGGGAGAAGTTAAAGGCTGCTGGCCGGCTGGCTGGCCATGTGCCCTGGCTGATGCCCGTTTGGTGTGCAGGCCTGGGAGTCTTTGATAATGACTCAGTCTGTTCTCTTTGGGATCTGTCTGCCTCCCACGTGAGTCCAGTGGTCTCCCTGAATGGCCATCTTTTTTTTTTTTTTTTTTTGAGGACCCATGCAGGCTGCCTGAGTCATAGCAGGGATGCTCAGCAAGGAGGCTAGAGCGGGATGGGGAAGTGCTGTGAGACCAGCTCCCCAGCAGGCTGCGGCAAGGCTTCCCTTCAAATACATCACATGGGCTGATCAAAAACTACAAGTTCTTGTAGACTCTAAAGAAGCCATGAGGGGAGATGCCAGTCTTACCTGGCAGGTGCTTCACGAGGTCCCTTTCTGCCAGGGAAGCCAGAGTTCGGCGTGCACTCGAAAACAACTCCACAGAGGGGTTGCTTCTGGCTGTCCCTTGGGAGTTGCTTGAGTCCTGGATTCCTGCCAGGACCTGGCCCTAGAGTTTGCAGGGGAGGATGTGCTTCATGGGCTCTGTCTCTACACTGTTAGCCTTATGATCTGCATACTTGGTCATGGGAAAGGCCCATGCCTCTCGGGGTGTTTAGCAGCATCTCTGGCTCCTATGCACCGGATGCCACTTGCACCCCTGTTCAGACATTGCCAGGACAGTGGACACAAAGTCGCCTGTGGCTTTGAACCACTGTTGGACTTGTAAACAGGGATGTGCCCTGGGCCAGGTCTGCTGCCAAGCTCTGTTTTCATCCAGAGGTGATTGTCAGAAGCTAAACATTGCTTTCCTTTGCAGGGCTCAGGGGTGATCAAGGCTGGCTTTGCAGGAGATCAGATTCCCAAATACTGTTTCCCAAACTAGTAAGTGTCCCTGAGTGGCTCGGGCAGATGCCCTGTTTCCTTTCATTCCGCGAGACTGGCAGCCCTGGGTCACAGCTCTGTGTCCCCTTTCTGTAAGGGAAACCCCAGATTTGTGAGGTCAACACTGTGGAGATAATTTGGCAAGAACAAAAGAAGTGGTCTGGGTTTCCCCTTCTTTCTTGGAGGCCCAAGGCTTTGTCTCTCTCTGAGGGGGAGGCAGCCAGCTTTGCCCTGGGGACAGGATACAGAGCAGTGCAGAGTAGCAGTGAGAATAAAGGGGAGCTCTCACCAAGCTCTCCAGAGAGCAGACAGGATAGTAGGTAGGTACACGGCAGGCTCTAATGCTTGGAAATGTTTTTGTTCCTTGTTGGATGCCAGGGATCGAACCCAGGCCTAGAGAATACTAAGTGCATACTCTGCCCCTGAGCCACCTTGGAAGTGTTTTCATCAGGCTTGATCAGATTCTGGAAAATACCATGTTTCACTCTTGGGAGGCCTATCTCTGTGTGATGCTGGCCACAGCAGGAATTTGAGGGCTGCCATATTTCGAGAGCCTGGTATATTCCTTGGGCCCCTCTAGCTCATGGGCAAAGTTACTCTCATCAGTGCTTCTTCTCAAATCGTGGACAGTTTTGATGGGTTCCCTGAAGGCCAGGGCAGCGCAGGACCTAAGTGGCACAGGTCAGCTGACTCCTCAGAGAACCCAGCCAGCATGGGATGCCCAGTCTTCCTTCTGGAACTACAGTTCCTACAGTTTGGAAGGGTAGCTCATCAGGTCAGTCTCCAAGGACTGGCTCTGTACCAGGTGTCTTGACAGTGGGAAGGGGCAGCGTTCACTTGAGGGACTTGTCTTCCCTTGGTCTCTAGCCAGTGACAACAGGCCTGTCCCCATGAACAGAGTATATGGGCTGAGTTATTATAGCTATGGAAGGCTAACCTTGTGTCAGGCCTGGTGTCCTGGGGTTCAGACACTCGGCCCACTCTGGGAAGGGACGCGTCCTTTTTGACCTTGTCTTGCTCCTGCAACCGTTGGCCACCCCTGGTTCCAACCCTGGCCTGTGGACCGCATCTTGCTGTTTTGGGGACTGTCTCTCTGAGGGTGGACCTCAGATTTCCTGATCGGACGCCCAGTCATGCCCCTGCCCACCTCCCCGGTTTTGTGTCCCCACAGTGTCGGGCGACCTAAGCACATGCGGGTAATGGCCGGAGCCCTGGAGGGGGACCTCTTCATTGGACCCAAGGCAGAGGTAACAGACACAGGGCCACTAACTGATTCAAAGGGTCAGACCTGGGTCTCTGCTGCCACCCTCCTGGAATCTTCTCTCGCAGCCCGGGGGTCTGCTGAGAGGTGGGGCAGCGCTCCGGTTCTGGGAGCTGGGTCAGACTCTGTGTGCCCCACCTCCCCAAAGCTGTTCAGAAACTGCAGAGGAGAAACTGAATAAAAGGGGCTTTAAGAATTAGACCACCCACACTCGATGGCTGCTGTGATGAGGGCCACCTCTTTACATACCAGCCAGGGTGACCCATCTAGGGACAGTGTAGCCAGCTCAGTCAGGAAGAGCCATTGTAGGGGTGGGGAGGCGCGAGCCAGCTGGTCAAATGCCGCATGGACACCTGGGGGACATGGGACCCAGTTGTAAGCCTAGGAAGGGGTAGCATGAGCTGGAGGGGCAAGTGTGGGACCCTGAGAATGAGGTCAGTGTCCTGGGGTTCCTCAGAGAACCCAGCCAGCATGGGATGCCCAGTCTTCCTTCTGGAACTACAGTTCCTACAGTTTGGAAGGGTAGCTCATCAGGTCAGTCTCCAAGGACTGGCTCTGTACCACAGGCAGGAGGTTAAGAGGGCAAGAAGAGGCACCCATAGTGGGCAGCACATCCATGTGAGAGACTGGTGGGACTGGTCAAAGCTGCACCCTGGGGAGCAGACGGTGCCCCCAGGAGGGGCTGTGCTGACAGGCACAGTGGCTGACAGGCCCTGGGGGAGCTGGTGGCACTGGAGGGAGGCGCAGGGAAACCCCAGAGAGGCTGCAGGAGAAGGGCCCACGGCTTGGGGCACGCTGCCACTTGTTCTGGGCTCCTGCCAGTTGATGCTGGCTGGGCTCTGAGGGCCCAGAGCACAGTGGGACAGATGAGCCATTCTTAGTTCAGCCCGGGGACACCCCATGGGCTCTGTTCAGGGCAGAGCATCAGGGTGGCTTCCCAGAAGGCTGCTGCAGGGCCTGTGCCATACTGGGCCTCCCCCTGCTTGCAGGAGCACCGGGGGCTGCTGGCCATCCATTACCCGATGGAGCACGGCGTGGTGCAGGACTGGAACGACATGGAGCGTATCTGGCAGTACGTGTACTCCAAGGACCAGCTGCAGACCTTCTCTGAGGAGGTGTGGCCGCAGCCCTGCCAGTACCTAGCTCCTCCCTGGTCCCTTTCCCTGCCCACCACATCCCTCTGTCCATGCCCCCCCCCACAGCCAGGGGTGGCCAGGGCGCACCCACCTCTGGAAGGGGACCGGATGGCTGGAAGAGGGCCTGGGCTTGGCGGAGAGCCTTCTGGGCCGGCGTGTGCTCATGCCACGCCTGTCCTGTGTCCCCCAGCACCCAGTTCTCCTGACAGAGGCCCCACTGAACCCCAGCAAGAACCGAGAGAAGGCCGCGGAGGTGTTCTTCGAGACGTTTAATGTGCCGGCCCTGTTCATCTCCATGCAAGCTGTGCTCAGCCTGTGAGTGGCCGAGCCCTGTCCCTGCAGTGTCTGTCCCCGCTGCAGTGACCAGGAAATCCCGAGCCCCACCCCATGTGTCACTTTTCAGCCCATATCATCCCTACATCCCAGGGCTCCTTCCGGGGTGAGGTGGTCCCCATGCCTCAGTGGCCGAGGTGAGGGGATGCTGACCTGGTGACAGGTACGCAACGGGACGCACGACAGGAGTTGTTTTAGACTCGGGGGACGGGGTCACGCATGCCGTCCCCATCTATGAGGGCTTCGCCATGCCACACTCCATCATGCGGGTGGACATTGCCGGCCGGGATGTATCCCGCTACCTCCGGCTGCTGCTGCGCAAGGAAGGGGCCGATTTCCACACATCGGCAGAGTTCGAGATCGTCCGGACCATCAAGGAGGTGATGGGGGCTCCCAGTGTGCAAGCACCTCAGGGGATGGTTAGGGGGACCAGGCACAGCCACCTGAGGGGTCTCCTCTCCCACCCACAGCGAGCCTGCTACCTGTCCATCAACCCGCAGAAGGACGAGGCGCTGGAGACAGAGAAGGTGCAGTACACCCTGCCCGATGGCAGCACGCTCGACGTAAGTGGCCGCCCAGCACGTGGCTGAGCACTGGGCCCATCCCCGGAGAGCCTGTCTGCCTCAGTCTTGTGCTCTGCAGGTGGGGCCCGCACGTTTCCGGGCCCCTGAGCTGCTGTTCCAGCCGGACTTGGTAGGAGACGAGAGCGAGGGGCTCCACGAAGTGCTGGCCTTTGCCATCCACAAGTCCGACATGGACCTTCGCCGCACACTCTTCGCCAACATCGTGCTCTCAGGCGGCTCCACGCTGTTCAAAGGTAGACAACAGGTGGGGTCAGGGGCTAGGGTGGGTTTTTGTGGTACTGGGGAGTGAACCCAGGGCCTTTGCACTGAGCTATATCTTCAGCCCTTTTTTTGTTTTGAGAAAAGATCTGGCTAAGTTGTCAAGGCAGGACTCAACCTTGAGATCCTCCTGCCTCAGCCTCCCAAAGTTTGAGATTACAGGCATGTATCACCATGCCCAGCTCATGTCTGCCTCCTTTTTTTTTTTTTTTTTTTATTTAAAGAAAAGGAAACAACAACAACAAAAAAAAAATACATGGAGATAAAAAAAGGGTAGAAATAATACAAAATTACAGAAAAACAAACGGTAAGAAATCGCTGGTTGATAAGTTACATATTGTCATCTTAGAAATAGCTGTTCACGTTACAAAATCAAAGCATTTAAAATGACATTCAAAAAGTGACACTGCAAACAGTTCTATTCAGTGATCGAACAAAAACTCAGTAATATGGTTATCAGTCCTACACAACTTGTTTTACATCTCAAAGAGGGTAAGATTAAACATATCAAAACAGAACGAAACACTTAAAAAAACAATTTAAATACAGATTTCAAAGCAAGTCCACTGGAGATCCCCACTGTCTGTCTCCAGTTTCCTACAAATAGTTGTCCCCATCTTCACCCACATTATATACATATTGCATATTATAGAACTAATCAAATCATTAAATCTGCCTCCTTTTTAATAGGACCTGGTGAACTTGTTTTTAGAGGCTAAGTTGAACTCACTGTGTAGCCCACACTGGCCTCAAACTTGTAGTAATCCTCTCTCCTCAGTTTCCTGAATGCTAGGATTCCAGGCCTACACCCCCATGCCTGGCAGTGGAGCCTGAGATCTAAAGTTAAATTGTGTTCACTTGTGGCCAGATTGGGAAGGTAGAAGCAAGACAGCAGCGACGGTGACAAGGAGCAAGTATCAGGCGGGGTGGGGCTGTGTGACAGGAAGCTCCATCTCCCTCTCTTCCTGGGGTGCAGAGTGGCACCTCCCTTAATCCTGGAGAGAATGGGTACTTCCAGAGCTGGACCTGGGGAGCTGGTGAGAAGGCTGGACGCCAGACCCCCTCCCATTCTTGTCCGCAGGCTTTGGGGACCGATTACTAAGTGAAGTGAAGAAGCTGGCCCCAAAGGACGTCAAGATCAAGGTGAGTCATGGAGCCCCTAGGGTGCCAGGCACTGGCAGCCATGCTGGGAGAGGAGCCCAGCCCTGCCCTCCCATGTCCACCCACCCTGCCTGCCCTGCTGGCCGCACATCCTCCCTCCCGGCTTGGCCTGGCTCTGGGCAGAGGGTGGCTGCTGTGTGGGAACAGGGCAGTGACATGGCACTTGTCCCTGTAGATCTCTGCCCCTCAGGAACGGCTGTACTCCACGTGGATCGGGTGAGGCGGCTCAGGAGGGCTCTGGGAGGCCGGATTGCCCTGGACACTGCCCCGGGCAGGGTGGAGGGTGGAGACTCCCTGGGGAGGGTGTGGGCAGTCACAGACTCACAAGAACGCCCCTTCCTCCTCCCAGTGGTTCCATCTTGGCCTCACTGGACACGTTTAAGAAGATGTGGGTGTCCAAAAAGGAGTACGAAGAGGACGGCTCCCGTGCTATCCATCGAAAGACCTTCTGATGCCCAGGAGGCTGCAGCACGTCGCGAGAACAGGCAGAGCGGGCACACCTGGACCCTTTCTGGTCGGGGCCCCCTGCATGCCGAGCCCCCGGGCAGGCGGTGCCATGGTGCTCCCCTGCAGCCCCACCCCACGCGCGCGCATACACACGCACACTGTAATTTTTAGCTGCATGGACAGTCTCCTGCCAGAGCCAAGGCATCATGGAACCTGTGTAGAGCTGCTCAGGGTACCTCCCTTGAGGTCCCCATTAGGTCAGGGATTCCTCGCTGTGACTTTTGGGGCTGCTTCCCTGAGCCCCAGGATTAGGGGTCTGGGGGGCAGGCTGGAAAGGGGTGGCCAGCAGTGCGGGCAGGGGGTGCATCTTTGCCACTGCCTCTACCCAGGCCCATGGCTGTCCATGCCTATGCACATGTTCCCAGCAAGGAATGTGGCCTGGGGTCAGCCACGGCACGTGGCCAGCCACATCACCCTTTCCCTGTCCTGCACCCTGGCTGGGAAGGCTGTAGTCTATGTCAGTGGAGACAAGTAGGGAAGGAGGAGTTGGGCAGGGGCCCGCCAGGCTTCCTCCCACCCTGAGGAGGACGGGGTCTTCCCATGGCCAGGCCCCACCTCGCTCTCCAGATGCGACCATAACGTAACACAGTTGCCTGAGAAAACTTCCTTTTATAAATCATGAGAGTAATAATTACAGACAAGGCCCAGCGTGTGGCTGTTTTCTCGTGGCTCTGGGTGCAGTCGTTTGCATTCCCGTCCCCTGGGACTTCCAGAGACTGGCGCTCTGAGCCTGCAGTTCCAACGTTGACAGGGCAACGAGGCACCGAGACCCAGGAGGCCGGGGCCTAGACAGCCTGCCACCAACAGGGTCCCATGCGCCTCAGCTCAGGCAGGAAGAGGGCAGAGAGTAATGGCTGTGAGCTCAGCAGGGCTCTGCTGGAAGAGGCAGGAAGGGACAGAGGGGCTGTCCGGTGACACTGGAGGAGCTGCTCCCCCACGGCTGGGCACATGAACACCTACAGCACCTCTGCCAGGGGCCAGGGGTGAACAAGATACATCATTGCCCAACAAATGGGCAGCCCAGAGCCACCACAGTGCACACACCTGTAATTCCAGCACTCAGGAGGCTGAGGCAGGAGGACCACAAGTTTGAGACCAACCTCGGGTATAGAATGCAAGGCCAGCCCGGACTATATAGTTCGAGTCCACCCATTTCCAAAACACCAGAAGCAAATGGACAGGTGAGAGGAAGGCACGGGGGCTGTTTCAGTGAAGTGCTGGAGGCCAGGGGCCTGGGCATCAACTGAATGGCAAGGACCTGAGGTGACCAGGGAGGGGAAGTCACCAGGTGACTCCAAGGGCGGGGGTGCTGCAGCAGAGATGGAGTCAGAGGGAAGGGGTAGGGGACAGTGGTCAGCTGTGTCCTCGATGGACAGATGGTGCATCTGTTGGGGGCCTGGGACAGAAGCAGCAGGGAGGCTGAGGCAGGCATGTCCTCGGCGCATTGCGAGCCCTGTCATCAGGTGTCGGCCACCCTGCCCTGGGGACTCTGCAGTCCAGCAGCCCCTCTGCCTCCTGCCCTGCTCTGCTTTCTGCAACACCTCCCGCAGCCTGGCTTCCCACACAGCCCTCCTGGTTGCCCAGGCCTCCTCTTCCTGCTGCTGTGAAAGAAAACAAACCCCGCTGCAGGGCAAGAGGGAGTGAGCCAGGTCAGGAGGGGGCTGGCCCTTGACCTCTGGTTTTCAAGGGTGAAAGTCTTCCAGCTAGGTCTGATTCTCAGGGAAGGGGGTAGTAGCACACAAGAATGAACACAAAATGTAGTGGGCAGAAATAAGGCTTATTTGCATCACCTGTGTCTCCCCACAAGCCTGACTAATCACAGAAGGCATTTTAAACGGTCAGCTCACAGCAGCAAGTCGTTCTCCCGCCCATGCGCTAGGGGGCGCCGTTTCACCCTGGTAGTCCTGCAAAACCTGAGTTTTGCATCCCAGAAGATGAACCTGGAACATTTTGTGTCCAAAAATAAATGCAAGAATGACAGGGAGACAGGTCTCGAGGTGACAGGAGCCAGCTCAGAGAGTTTTCGCTGCCCATATTGGAACAAATTAACAAATAGTCATGGATGAGAACCCACCGACTAAAATAAAAAGGGATGGATCCATCCTGATGTACACTTGAAGTTTGATAAGGAACATGGTGCTGGTGACATCGCTGATTAAAAGCACCTTCCCACTAGTGGAAAGTGACCAAGTGATTAGTCAGTGACCAAGGTGATCGTCGGTGCTGGGGTAAGTCAGCCCCAGATACCCCCCAGAAGGTTGCCCAACACCTCCTTCCAGCCTGAAACCAGTGGTGAGGAACAGGGACCCAGCTTGTTGGTGTCTCCCTCCAAAGGGTCCAATGGGAACTGTCCTGGGTCGGGTAGGTACAGGCAGCACAAGGTTCCTTTCCTGTGAAACTGATTTTGGGATGTGTAGCAAAGCCTGAATAAGGGCAGAGGATTAGGGACTGAACTATACAAACTGCTCAGGGTGTAGAGGTGCACACCTGTAATCCCAGCACTCGGAGAGGCTGGAGCAGGAGGTTCATAAATTCCAGCTCAGCCAGAATTGAAAGCTATCAATGCTGTGAGATTGTCTCGAATTTAAAAAGGAACCTCAAGGGGGGGTGCCCAGGTCCCACCTGAGGACTGTTTCAGTGTCTGAGCCTGAGGACCCCAGGAGTGGGCCAGGCTCCCAGGTGACTAAGATGCAGCTCACATTAAAAAACACCAATCCAGGAGGCGGGAGTGGAAGTTCCTGGTCTTAGTTTCTCACTGCTGCTATAAAAAGTTATCACGAATAGAGCAGCTTACAGCCTCCTAACTTTATTAACTGACAAGGCTGCCTGGAAGTCCAGCCTGGGCCTACAGGGCTGAAATCAAAGTGTTAGCAAGGCTTTTTCATTCTCAAGACAGGGGACAATCATTTTGCCTTTCCCAGCTTCTCAAAGCCCGTGACACTACATCTCTCCCCATTCCTGTGCTCATCAGTGCCACCTGAATAACCCAAGATCCTCTCCCCATTTGTTTTTTATTTAAGACATGGTCTTGCTATACAGTCCAGGCTGGCCTTGAACTTACAGTGGAGCCCAGGCTGGCCCTGAACTCATGACACTCCTAGCTCAGCCTCCTGAGTGCTGGAATTAGGCATGTACCACCACACCCAGCTATTACATACCTCCCAAGAGTGAAAACTTAACTTGTACAAAGTGTCATTAGCTGGACACCATGGCAACTGTATGTAACCAGGAGTTCCAGGCCCGCCTGGGCTATATAATGAGTTCAAGTCCAGTCTCAACTGCGTAGCAAGACCTTATCTCAAGAAACCAAAAACAGGCTGGGGGTTTAGCTCAGCAGCACAAGCACCTGCCTGGCAAGGGCAAGGTTGTGAGTTCAATGCCTGGTACGGAAAAAAAAAAAAATAATAAACACACAAAGTATCACAAATGCTCCAAATTTTGTCTTTTACATTCCCCCACCCCAAGGTGGGGTCTTACTATGTTACACAGAGGCCTCCAACTCTCCTTCAACCTTTCTGCCTCGGCCTCCCAGGTAGCTGGGATTATAAGCTCCCACCACATCCAGCTCAATTTTCCTTTCTGTTTTTTTAAGAGGGGAAGGCAGACTTTACTCAGATAAACCAGAGCAAGGCATAGAAAGCACTGCAAGGCAGTCTTGCCTTCACCCAGGTCTTAGAACCAAATTCCTACCACTGTTCTGAAATCAAGACCCAAACAAGGTATACACAGGCTGTGTCTGGTTTTACTCTATCGGTTTCCCCTAGTTTTTTGTTTCCCTCTCTACCCGCTGCAGTTTACTAGTAAAGACCTGGTCTTTGGTTTCTGACACATCCCCACACTGGCGTGCTGCAGCTGTTCCCAGAACTCTTGGTTCAAATATGATCCCTCAAGATTTCAGCTTCCAAAGCTCTTCTCATAAAACCCCTCTGCACCAGAGCCAGTGTGGAAGCACATGGCTATAGTCTCAGCACTCAGGAAGCTGAGGCAAGAGTAGCTACTAGTTTGAGGCCAGCCTGGGCTACATAGCAACACCCTGTTGCAATAAAAACAAACACCCTCCTCCTATGACTGTGAGGACAGGAACTACCATCTGCCAGGGTCTTCACATGTATCACCTCTAACGCCTCACAAGATATTTACCTTTTTGTGTTTGCTACCTCTTTTGGGAGTAGATGTAATTAGACAGAACACACCCACAGTGACACCACCAGATGATGGTATCAGTGGCCTAAGTCCGGTGTCCCAGGAGTCCATTAATGTGTTTTCTTGTCCCTGGTGTCACAATCATCATGCCATGGGCCATCAAGCTATTTGGATCCTGAGGGAGGCAGTGCCAGGGCTGAAGCCAGGCCTCCCATGCCGAGCACACACCCAGTCTATGTGTCACCAAGGTAAGCACTGTGCACTACTTGGACACTGAGGGATCACGAGCTCACGTGAACAGACAGCTACTGCCAGCCCAATTCCCCACGCCTACCAGAAAACATGAAGAGAAGACCAGCCTCGAAGGGAAGGAGCCAGGGACAGGCTCGTCTTTATTGCAAAGAGACTTTACAGCGCATTCCGAGGGAGGCCGTGTGGGCTCAGTGGGACAGCGGGTGGGGCACCAGTTTGTAATGGGTTCCGCAGCTCGGGCACCGCTGAGCCTCGCCTTTGTGCAGCCAGAACCAGATGACAGTGCTGTTGTCCTCCTCACCTAAAAGGACAAGAAGGTGGCTGAATGGCATCCAGCAAGAAAGAAGACTTTCAATATTAACCACTCTCTGTGCAACATTTGTGAAACAGAAATCTGACTACCACTGACATCTTAAGAGGCCAAGGTCTTCTATCTTTCAGCTGGAATGGAGCCTTGCCTTTACCTAGAAGTAAACTGAGCTTACATGAAGGTTCTGTAAGTCCTAACAATTCCTGTGAGTCCCGAAGCAATGTCCATAATGGCATTTATCCTTAGTGCCCAAAACAGTGCCTGGCATAGAAATCCTACAGTCAGTATTATCTGGATGAATGCCCTTCGTGATACATTTCCAATGAGCCATGCTGTTCCATGCCTCTTTCTACAGTCTCGCAACATGAGGCCTAAGACAGCCAGAACCCTTAGACAATTTATTTATACATCTGTACTTTTTTAAAATCTCTTTTTAAACAGTCACACACATACATGACTGGAAATATCTTGTTCAGTTCAGTAGGATTTATTAAACAAATGCACAAGAAAATACAGATGAAGCAAAAAGAAGAAAATTTTAAAAAGAAAATAGAGGTGAAGTACTCACAGATGCAGCCCACTATACGCTTGTTGGAGATGGACGGGACTAAATTAGGGTCCTCCTTGGTGCCTGAGGCTGCCTTTGGGGCTAGGATATTGTACGGGTCCTGAAATATAAGCAGCACTGAGCCAAGATGCCAAGCTACCCCAGTCCCTGCAGAGGCACAGGGCTCTGTCTCCACCAGCTGATCGAGTTAACCTGATCCCATCCAAGCCCGGGCTCCGCATGACCACAGCAAGGGCTTTCTCCTCACCAGTCCTTTCTGAGCCGCCAGCATGACCTCCCTCTCCAGGCCAGTTGCCTGCTCTTCATCAGTTGGGATCCCACCTAAAGGAGGACGGGTGAAAAGTCTAGTAACGCATCAAGATTTTTTTAAAATGCACACTGAAAAAACCAAGCTGGAAAAGGGCACACGCAGACTTCTGGTTTAGGTTCAGTAGGAGCTTCCCATCTCACGGTCCCCTAAGAACCTGCGTCATGATCCCCCAAAGTGGCAACTCTCATAGAAGCATCTCTTCTCCACCCACCCAGGCCACTGTCTTGACTCTTCGTAAACGCAGGTCGATTGTGGCTTGAAGTGACCAAGGGATTTAAGGAGCGCGGAACCCCGCGTCTCACATCCCGTTGCAGCTTCCTGGCCCCCCAAGGTCACCGCACAGCCGCCTCTAAGGACACCTTCGCACCGGTGTCGGTTTGGTGGGCGGTGGCAGCAAAGCCCGAAACTACAAGGAGACGCAGCAGAGCCTGGGGTGCTCGGGGCCCTAAGGTAGTCACGGGGCCCTAAGGAGGCGCACGGTCGCCCCGCTTTGCTGTCCCGCACCAACCACCCTGGGGTGGGAAAGGCAACAAAACGCCGGACTTCGGCACGCCCAACAGGTAAGTACCTCCTGAAGCCATGGAGCGGACAGCAGCCGCCCCACTAGGGCCACGGGCCCTTAGGGCCTGCGCAGCCAGCGCTCCAGCTCCGCGAAGTAACCTTGAAGCCATCACAGCGGCGACAGACACCAGCGCCACTTCCGGAACAGGCTGTAGAGAGGGCGGGACTTCCGGGGAGGGACTGCTCCCTTCCGCCCGCCTTCGCTTCCTCTCTTCCCTGGGCCCGCCCACACACGTGACTTTCTGGTGGGCGGTGCTGCGCATGCCCAGCTCTCCTTCTTTCTTCGCCGCTGGGTGTCAGCGGCTTGAGGCTCCTAAGCCTTTTAACCCGGTTTTGGGGAACGTGGGTGCTCATTTTATGTCCCTGGGGCTCCGTATCCCAGCTTCATTAGCGTTCCTGTTTGTCTGCCATGGTAGCCATGTTCAATAAACGTGGAAGTTGCTAATGGAAGTCAAGGGCGCACCGTGAAGGTGCTTGCTGAAAGAATTTTGCTGGGAAGCTGCAGCGGTGGGAGGCTGGGAGGCGGAACCAAGGGGCTCTATCCTGAGGTCACCTTCCCCGCCCCTAAGTAATTTACCTGTGCCACGAAATGAATTCCGATGGACTACCTGTGCATCAGTAATGCCCCTTAGGCACCACCCCAAACCTAAGCTACATGTATACCCCCACACCACGTGTCGGGCGGAGAGAATGCCAGACCCTAAGGTCATGGAGTCTCTCTGCACATTCTTAAAATAAAGGCCACTTTTTTTTTTCATATTTCTTACCTTTTTAGCCGCGCCGAAAATTGTATCACTGGCTGGACCGCAAATGATGGATTTGGGATTGGGCTCCTGAAGACCACCACGCTCGTCCTTGGGCTTGTTCATTGTGAAGCCGGCTGCCTGGCACTGCCGGAGCCATTGCGTACTTGAGGCTTCGGCCTACCAGAGCAGCACTTGAACAGGGTGCTTGCAGACCCGCTTTCGGGAGGCTGAGGCAGGAGAATCATTGCAATTCCCAACCAGCCTGAACTGGGTAACGGGACCTTTTTTAAAAAAGAAACAACTTGAACTGGACCTGCCCGCTATCCTAGCAGCAGTGTCCTGTTACAGTTGTACTGCACAGTCGCTGTCCCAGCCTGAGCGGGCACACGTGGGCCCCCTCCCAGGACCGGAGCTCTTAGTGATATTGGGGGCTGGGGTGGTGCACTCCGACAGACTGTTGTCCAAGCATCGTTTAGGAGGAAGAGCAGGAAGGGGAGTTAAAACATTTGGCCAGCAGTCCGAAGGTACAATCTGGGCAGGGCTGGCACTGGAGAACTCTCGCTCAACTCCAAGCACGTTGTTCTCACTGTCAGTACATCCCAGAGACAGACTCAGCCAAGCAGCGTCTGTGTTTCCTATCGGCTGGCGAGTCCCTTCCGCATCATGCTGTAATTGTTAAATCCTCATTCTCCTGCGGAGGACTGGCAGTGATATAGGAGGATCGAGTGGTGTGAAGTGAATCTACTAGCTGGATACAGTCCACGAGGTTGGCCGGGGATTTAGCTCAGCAACACAAGCACTTGCCTGGCAAGTGCAGGGGCACATCTGGTCTCCAGAGCCCCATCTTCCTCCAAATGACGCTGTCTATCTGGAGGCCAACAAGGTCTTGTTCCTCGTTGCAGGTGCCTTTTGCTAAGCATTTCTTCCACGGTTCTGGAAATGCGCTTTCCCCAGGGGCTCAGTGCCTGCAAAATCCCCTAGTGAAAAACTGACAGAAAAAGCACCTGCACTGCTTTGCGTTCCAGGATGCCCTGCCTCACAGACAGGCAGAGGGGAATTGGTCAAAGTCGGGGTCTCACCCAGCCCAGTTTGATTAGGGACAATGTTGGGCACCTCCTGTCATCTTTGCCTTAATGATGCTCTTGTTCTAAAGTGCAGGGCTGGGGATTTAGCTCAGCAGCATAAGCACCTGCCTGCTTGCCAAGCATAAGGTTGTAAGTTTGATCCCAGTACTAAAAATAAAAAATAAGGTGCTAGTTTTCACTTTGTAGCATTTCTTCCTTACTGCCACCCAGCCCCTCCAAATTATATCAGAAAAAGTGCTCCCCATGAATCTACAGCTAATTCATGCCTCTGGTAGGCGTTTGATGGGGAAGACACTATTGATCTGGAGAAACAGCTTGCTAAACCTCTCTCTCTCTCTCTCTCTCTCTCTCTCTCTCTCTCTCTGACAATCATTGTCTGATTAAGGTATCTCTGTGTAGTCCAGGCTGGTCATGAACCCACAGCAATTCTCTTGCCTCAGCCTCCCAAGTAATGGGATTGAAGGCATCACCACCACACCAGCTCAAGACACACAAGCTTTGGAAAAAGGACTGGATCAAGACAGGAGTTATTCCTTAGGTGACCAGCTTCTTGGAGCTACACAGGAGCATCTTCAAGGTTCTGACTAAACCTGCAGCAAAGAATGCAATTTAATTTACCCTTGTTTTGGACCTGAGTTTTCCTACCCTAACCAGAAAACCTCTCCACGTGAACATCTCTGGCCCGGCAGCAGAGCAGTGAGACCCCAACTTTGACCAATTCCCCTCTGCCTGTCTGTGAGGCAGGGCATCCTGGAATGCAAAGCAGTGCAGGTGCTTTTTCTGTCAGTTTTTCACTAGGGGATTTTGCAGGCACTGAGCCCCTGGGGAAAGCGCTGCCTCTCTGGGATTGCTCAGGGTGGTGTGTGTTTGAGGGCTAGGGCCACCCAACTCCAGCCCCGCCCCACCCAGCTCAGTTTGATTAGGGACAATGTTGGGCACCTCCTGTCATCTTTGCCTTAATGATGCTCTTGTTCTAAAGTGCAGGGCTGGGGATTTAGCTCAGCAGCATAAGCACCTGCCTGCTTGCCAAGCATGAGGTTGTAAGTTTGATCCCCAGTACTAAAAATAAAAAATAAGGTGCTAGTTTTCACTTTATAGACTGGTTTTCAGTTGTCAGAATCAACGTACAGTGCAGGAAGTCAGATGACACATATGTAAGGGAAAAATGTGGTTTTTTGCTTTTCTAGGCTGGGATTTCTCAGCTGTAGGACAGCTGACTCCTTGGGCCTAGAAATTCTTTGCAGGGTGAGGCAGTGAGGCTACCCTGCCTGCATTTAGCCTATCTCAGGGCTTCCCTGGCACTGTCCTGTGAGCCTGAAAATACAGCCCATACTTGTGAGCCCCGCATGTGGAGGCTGGGGCAGGAGGATCACCATGAGACCCAGCATGGGCTACATAGCAAGACCCTCTCCTCCTCCTCGAAGCAAGCAAAAAATTAAAATAAAATTTTATAGGTGGGGCTTTAGCTCACTGCTTTAAGTACCTGTTTGGCAAGAACAAGGTCATGAGTTTGATCCCCAGTACCCCCCCAAAATTTTTTATATAATCTATTATCATTTTTTTTACTTAGCAAAATATTTTTGAACATCCCTGCAGATTGAATCATGAATCTAACATCATGTACAGTGGACCCATGACTTACAAACTCAGTTCATTCACGAGGGCTGGCAGTAACTCAAGTTCGTTGTCAGTCAAGACTTTTTCCCATAAGAAATATTGGAAATACCCATCATGCATTCTGAACCTCCTGAAACACCCCTTACCTCAACTTTACATAATAAAAAAGGGTTGCATGAGGTGTTTAATTTACCAGAAAGTCCAATAATTTTCCTAGTGTATTCACCAAAAAGTTACAGCATGTGCCTAGCTTACCAAAAGCACCAATTTCGCACTGTCCTCGCCGTTCAAGTTGACACCTTTGGCTTGCAGGAGGTGGGATGCATGGAAGGTGGTTACTGATTGGAAGCAGAGCCCCTTCCACAAGAGCCTCAGGACCGGGCTCTCTGCCGTCCTTTCTCTCCTCGAGAGTCTAGCCCACCAGGCCCTGCTGCTGGCTCACTGGGGCACAGCCTTTTCAGAACTAAAAACAGCCCTGAAGCCCTGTTTCTGTCTGCTCTTTAGCACTGTTCTATAGTGTGACATTGCCATTAAACAAGTGAACGCAGCAATGGGCTGTTTCTCTGCTAGCTGGGTCTTCTCTACAATGTCTGCAGCTCTGTCCATTTCTCAGAATTTCCTTTATTTTGGAAGAAGAACTTTTCTGCACTGATTGTTGATTCTCCCCCTCTTTCTCCTCCTCCTCTTCCTCCTTCTCCGAAAGCCATGACTACCTGCAAATCTGCGGACTCTGCTGCAGTGACAGTGTCACCCACCACAGCATCAGCTTAACCCATGCAGGAAAAGATGCTATAATGCTCCTTCCAGGGCTCATTAGGGTTAAATACAGACCTGAGCTCCCTGGAGGCCTTCAGGAGCCAGCTGTGGCCACTGGCCCCTAGGCTGCTGGAGGAGTACTAGGTGGGAGGAACTCGGCTGAGAGACCTGGGAATTCTTCAGCCAAGGCTTCTTCCAGATCTTGTCGGGGAGCAGAAGCATTGTCCAAGATGAGGAGCCCCGAGTGGTAAATCTCTGTCCTCTAGATACCTCTTCACAGTAAGACTGAAAACCTCTCTTAACCACTCAAGAAAAAGTGCTGTTGCTACCCAGGCCTTTGCATTACAGCTCCACATAACCCCCAGCCTGTTCATCATGAGCTTGTTTTCTGAATGCTCTAGGGGGTCTCAGAGTGATAAACCAAGTGTGGCTTTATCATGAGGTCACACTGGCACCTAGCAATACCTTAGTCTGTACTTCGTGATTTTCACCCAGGCCGAGCCTGGAGCTTCTGTCACCGCCAGCCCTGCCCACAGTAAATTTCACTGAGCAAACAGAGGCCACAGGGACTCACTCAGCCTCTGTCCCCTCTTCCTTCTCTCCAGCTCTGCCCTCCAGTCTTCAAGTCAGTGGCCCCTGCAGGCCTATCCTGCTACTGGCCCTGTGCCTGCCAGATCAGCTCCATCCTGGGGCCCCATCATGGCCCATTTTCTGATGCTATCACAAATCCACATGATTTGTTAAAAGGTTTAAGCCAGGTGTGATTGGCACATACCTGTGCTCCCAGACTCAGGAGGCTGAGGCAGGAGGATCACTAAAAGTTCAAGGCCAGCCTGGGCTACATAGTGAGACCCTGTTAGCTCACAGGTGCAGACATGGGAGACCATGGAACTGGGTTCTTTTTGGCTTCGGTGAGGACCCTGTGATGGATGGGATTATCATAGTCATCTAAGTTAGATCAAAATTAACAGACAGGCAGATGGGGTTGGGTCCTTGAGGGTTCAGAAGA